GGGGGGAGGCTGCCCATTTATCTACCCTGAGGTTAAGGGCCTATGTATATGACCCTGACCTCTCCTTAACATATCCCAGGCCTTGCAGATGTTTCCTCCAGCTAGCTAGCCCTGGGTTCCCTCTTTACATGTATACACACACTGGGCCCCAGGCCCAACACACTGGGCTCCAAGCCCATACACACTCTCAGGGATCCAACCCTACATCTCGGGGCTCCAACCACTTCTGGGCCCCAAGCCCGCACACCTTGGGCCTCCAAGCCTGCCTCTGGGATCAGGGCTCCAAGCCCTGTCCCTAAGCCCTCCCTGGGCATTCTCCTTATCCCTGGCCCTGGGAGCTTCCTCAGTAGCTCCCCAAGGCTCAGAGCCCCACCCCCATGGAGCTTCACTCTGGCTCCCTATATGTAGCCTCAGGACTCTGCTGTGAGCCTGGGCACTGCCACAGGTCCCTTTGCCTGACCTGGGCCCTACCACAGTGCTTGCAGTGAGTCTGGGCTCCCCCTACCTTGATCTCATCCACTAGGGATGTGGGGATGGGGTTAGAAGGTGCCCCATATTCACCTTTCACCGGGGTGGTATCTGGCCTGGCATTTCTGGAGGACTGTCCTGCCTCAGACAGTTCCACAAGGCCGCCCGTCCCCAGCAGGGTGCAGTTTCCAGTCATGCCCAGGACTATGGGAACTCCTCCTTCCCCATAGCCCCAACCCTTACCTCCAAGATACTGCTCTGAGTGGCAGCCCAGCCGAGTGGTGTTCTCCCCAGCTGCTGGGAGCAAACTGCTGCCTCTTTGCAGTTAAGGGCTCAGATCTTATGGAGCACAGCTGGGCCCTGCATCTAATTAGGCAACTCTGCCTAACTGGCATTGAAGGCAGCTGCAGACTGCCTAGCTGCCACTCAGGCCCCCGCTAGTAACAAAGCACGCTGTGCTCTGTTACAGGTACATGTAAGTGTTACATTTAGATAAACCTAACAGAACTAAATGACTGAGCATTAAAGCATTCACAGGGCTTAATTCACCCTAAAAATAGCATGCCTCTTCTAAAATTAGTTCACCTCAGAAATGAACTAACTTTAAACCAGCGTGGATTAACCCAATCTAAAATAGGGTTAGATTAGTCACTTGGGTAAACCTCTGGGCTTTGCTTGCTGTTTTTACTCTTGTCTCCCATTGTACCTCTATGGACCTCCCCCAGAACTGCAGGTCCCCCCCACCCCAACCCTGATCGCATCAGACTCTTCCCTCATTTTACTCACAGCAGAGCCTGACTTAGCAGCTTGCTTTGAGTGGGTAATTTCAATGGCTGTTTGCACCCATGTTGTAATCAGCATTCTCGATATTCCATATTATACACGGGTAAGAAAGGTATTCAGAACCTCACATGACCAAGTCTTGAAAATGTTATTTTTAGAAACATCAACTCATACAACTAGAAGAGACAATTTGGGCCATTGAGACAAATGTTATTGCAGACAGCTATGTAATGAACACTCATCTAAAAATGTTTGCAAGAAGTAAATATTTTGTATTTTCCATAAGAAGATAGTTGCCAGATGTTCAAATCTTTTATTCATGATCACACAGAAACCTTTGTAACATTTCTGTCCTACAGAATGTCATGTTGTCTCACTAACCTGCTTTAAGACACATAGAAACTCACTCCTAACTTTATTTTCAATCACTCTTCATGATTTTCCCTTATTTCATCTGAGATGGAGAAATGTCCTGCATTTTATCATACTTACCAGAAACACACAATGGGAAATCTATGTGTCCATCAATACATTGTCTGACAGATGGGCCTGTAAAGTTATAGCCATCAGCACAAGAAAATTCCATAGTTTGGCCACTTCGAATGACTGTTGCATGCCTTCGTCCACTGCTCAGAAACAGATTTTTATCCGCAAGGTGTTGTTTTGTGATAGTGCATGGGGCTAAAAGAAAAGAGGAAAAGAAGAAATATATATATATAGAAATAAGAAAGAAATATATACACACATACATTACAAATCATTACACATCAAGGATCCTAAGCTTGATGCGTGCAGTCAAACTATTAATTTTTTTACCGTGAAAATAAATTGCGTTATGCAATAGCACTGGTGATCCAGTTATGGCGATTATGCCACAGCTCAAAACAGATGTAAACTAAACTAAATCTTATCATAACTCACTGCATTAGATTTAAGCCCAAATTTGGCTTCCATTCAGTGATTAGGATAAGAGTTTTATTGTTCCTGTTATTAGTTATGTTTATTTTAGTAATGCATTATGACAGATAAAGCAGGGAGTCTCACTGCCAAAGGCATCATAATTGAGATCAGAATTGTAGATTGTCTCTGTCCGGAAGAAAGTATGAACAGAAGAAACAGCAAAAGGTAGGAAAAGAACATAACCCACAAGAGGACTGAACAATGCAACAGCAGCAGATATCATGATATTTCCACAGTGGTCACAACATACGTTTTGTTTTCTTACAGCTGCATCTCAATTTCTAATCTTCAGCAAATAAGAGATGCTGATGGTTGATATGCAAAATGATATTGCTATTAATTGGATAGGTGGAATGGGAGTGACCAAAGAAACTCAGTGAAGCATCCTGCCAACATATTACACTGGATGTTCACACCTTAGAAATACCATGCATGAGATAGCACTAGACTGTATTATATTTCTTCCTCAACTATTTATGAGAGAGAAAGATCTGGACAATTTGAACTTCTTAAGTGTTATGCCAAGTTGTAGGGCCATATTCTGTCAGATACATGTGTATTCTGTCAGGTACGCACACATTCTGTCCTACACTCACGTATGAATGCATGCAGACTGAAGGCATGAGAAAAACTATTCGATTGGTCACTTCTGACAGCATATCGGGGTAGGCAATATTTGGGCTGGAAGGTCACTTAAGTTTTAGTGAGTGGTTGAGGTCTGCACACACATGCGCACACACACACATACAGAAACATGCACAAACACACACATGCTTAGTCACACATGTATACATGAAACATGCAAACACAAACATGCACATGCAGGTACATACATGCATGCACAGGCATGTGCTGGGGACTCAGGGTGGGGGAGGGGGTGCATGAGTGCACAGATATACATGCACACATGCACACACAGATACACATATGTGCAGACATACACACACATGAGCTCCCCTCAGCTCTCCCTGCACCCCCTCCCCTGCCCCCAAGTCCCCAGCATATGGCCGAATCATGCAGAAGCCACGCCAGCCACTCTAGCTGCACCCATGTGGCGCAAAGAGGCATGCAGGAACACAGTGTGGCACTAGCCAGGCCCAGCTGCATGCCAGGGACTTGGAGTAGGGGAGGCGGTGCAGGAAGAAGGGGGCTGGAAGGCACAGGTTATCCAGGCCCAGCCAGGCCAGTGCTGCAATGTGCTTCCCGATTCTCCCTGAACCCCCTCCCTCACCCTCAGTCCCCAGCACGTGGCTGGGCCAGGCTGGTGCTGTGCTGTGTTCCCACGTGCCACTTTAGTCCATGTGGGCACAGCTGGAGCAACTCGCATGGCTCCTGCCCAACCCTGCCACATATAGGGGACTCGGGGTTGGGCAGGAGCCATGCCATGGTTTGGCAGGAACTATGCCATTTGCTCCAGCTGTGCCCATGTGGCATGGCCTGAAGTGGCACACGAGGACACAGTGCAACACTGTGTTAGTACTGCCCATGCCCCTATCAGGCCTCGGACCAGCCTGGCAGGGCCCAAATAACCCACAGCTCCTGGCCATCTTACCACCACACCCCTTCTCCAGTGGGGAGAACCATACCTGAACTTCGACTCTTACTGAGGACCACATTTTCTGGTCTGTGAATGGCTTTAGGGTTGGAGCCATGCTCTAACAGCCTCACTGAACAGAAGCCTGGCCAGGATCCCAGGACTTGCAGCACACATTAAGGGCTGGGGGGCAGGCAGACTAAGCTGGGCCAGGAAAGGGGGGTAGCTGCCTGGCCACTGGAAGTGGAACTGCTGCTCCTGCTGCAGCCAGCTACAGCATGGGTAAGGGAGAAAGGTGAGAGGTACTAAAAGCCAGGGCAGTCATAAGCTGGATATAAATCTCATTCAGAGAAGTAGCCACAGGCTGGATAGAATCATTTGGTGGCCTGGATCCAGCCTGTGGGCCATATTTTGCCCACCCCTGCTGTACATGCATGCAAGAAAACTTGATACATGAAACTTACAGTTGTGACTAAGAGAATTATCCTTCAGGGGTCAACTTAGTGCATTTCTGGGTGCTGCATTTCAAGGAGTATGTGTCTATGTGTGCTTCTATGACCAAAATCAGAGTTAGTCATGTAGTTTGTTGTTGCAATTTCTAATGCTCTTCAGGCTTCCACATTTAAAATTACTATTTCTAACCTGTCCTAAGACCTTCAGTGAGGAAATGTAAGCATAGACTTCTGGAGGTGGGAGACTGATCAGACCAAGATAGTTGGGTTGTGTTCAGGGATTGGAGGAAAGCTATTCCAGGCACAGAGAAAGAAGGTATACAATCCGTTTCCTGCCAACATCTTCCTATAGGAGGAATACATTGACTATATTGCAAGAATTGGAGACAACATGCTATAAAACCCAGTAATAGCAATTTAAACTGTCACCGATTTTTCTCGTTTGCTAAATACCTGTGTAAGGTATGCACGTGCAGCTTACACAAGGAACGTGAATGATGAGAAAGCAATCATTTCATTTATATGCCATGCAGGAAAAATAAGTGATTCCTGTTTCCTATGGGACCAGTGGCCTCTAAATAACTACTGATATCTACATACACTAAATAAATCAATTAAAATCTCAAAGTTAACACCTCTTCCAAATGTATTTCAAAAGGCTTTTTAAAAGTACCCAAACATTTTGGAGGTGCTGTCCAGCTTCTCCCATCACACGTTATCCATTCAGATCCAGCCAATGTGTATCCAACATTGCAGCTGTACTGTACTCTGTCACTTTTCACATATTTTGACTTCTCACTGCTAAGAATTTCACCAAAATCAATCTCAGGTGGTGCCCTGCATACTGGCACTGCATAAAAAAGATGCACAGAGTTGGTTACTAGATGAGTAGACTGGGAGTTTCAGCCCATTTTATCAGCTTTCAGTGCACTATATTGATAACAGCAGTTGTCTAAGATATTGGAGGAAACAACAATTGGAGAGAAGAAAAAAAGTTAAGAAGTTGCATGTAGGAGTCAGTCCATATGCACACGATTTGAAATAGTCACACCTGCAGTATCAACTGATGACAGAACCAATTTAGTTTAGCAAGAATAGAATGGACTCCATGAATTAAACTTTTTAGACACAGAAAGAAGTGCAGCTCCCCACTGTAACTCATGGTGCTTTGCAGGAAATGCCATGAGTTACAGTGATCCCTCAGACCAACAGACATTTGCTGTTGGGGCTTCTGGGGTTGGGGGAATCAAGCTTCAGTTTAGAGCGGCCGCAAGTCTGCAACCACCCTCCCTAGCCCTGTCCCTCCCCCATCCCAGCACTGGCACTGTCTTCAGAGTGGGTGGGGGGAAAGGGAGGGGAGGGAGTTCATTCTGGGGGTTGCCCAGACAGAGATGGAGGGTGGGGGAGGTGGATTGGAGTGGGTGGACCGGAAACACCAGCAACACCCTAAAACTTGTCATAAGAGTATGAGCGATGGAGGCACTGCCAGTACTACTATATATAGAGACATGGAATTGATTACTTTGTGTTTAGAGGATCCAAGGAAGAATGCCATAGTACATACTATAGAAGAAGGTGAACCCTCTCCCCACCATCTCTACCCACTTCTTCCCTCTTCTGTGATCTGTGCCAATCTGACTTAGGGGCAGAAAAACAAGACCCTCTCACCAGCAATTCTAAACTTAATAAGTACTCTGGAGGAGCACCACTACACCCCAATCAAAAATTCAAGACCTTAGCTCTGTTGAATGCTTGGTATTTTGGAGGAACAGTGGGGCAGAGGAGGGAGCAAAAACCCTAGCATTCCTAAGGGGGAAAAGTCTTTCCCAGACCATATATTCAAGCAACAAAACCCTGAAGCATGAGATTCCCAATTACCCATCCTTCTGCAGGAGTATTACATCTATAGCCTAACATGGGGATTGCAAATACTCCATTCCACATGCTATACTTCTTATTTTTGAACCAAGAATTGTAGAAGATGCTCCCCTTTCCCAAAATTGTTCTCACTATTGCTGCCTTTCCTTGATGCTTGCTTGTAGCTGATCCTTACTAAGCCACCGTTTTAATTTCAGCTAGTTTATACATTTATAATAATTGCAGGACATTAGCGAATATTTAAAACTTTTCCATTTAAATTGAAGTTTTCATCTTATGTAATATAAGCAATGTGCTCCTAACAACTCAGCAGAGCTAGATTCTGTATAAATTTAAACTATTTCTTTTTAAAGAATCCCTTCAACTGTGTATGTTTGCAGATGGAAACTTTTCATCATCTTTTCCATACTTTTGAAAACAAAAAATACAATGAAAATCCTGCAACTTAATGCCCACAAGCATTAAGCATGAGGGAAAGCTAAACCCAAATGTTAATGAAGAATGCTGAAGTCAGGAAAATATTAACTGAGGAGATTACAAAAGACATATCCAAAAGCAAAAAAGTTATATATAAATTTCTGTCCCATTATACCATGAATTTAAATGGAAATTCATTTTCAATTTTCTTTACAGACTTTGATGGTCTTAAAATGGCAAATAAAAATCACAGTGAAGTCATCTCTTTTCTCCAATAGGTATATTCATCCTATCTGTTGCTGCTTTGCTTTGAGGACCTGTCCTGCAACAAAAAACCTTGCCCAGTCCCTGTTCATTAAAGGCATTCCACTAAATTTATTCACAGGAATGATAGTTACTTCTGTGTTTAATAGTTTGGCCTTTAGCTTCTAAAGAAAACTTTTGCAACTGAGGAAAGAGAGGTCATTACTGAGAGATCTCCAGGTATTTTTTTTTATTTAAACAAAAAATTACAATTGCAAGTATCAGAAGAAATTATTGCATTCTGCGACATCTAGTTAGTATAAAATAATACTCTCCATTTATATAGCTTCTTAGTCACAATGTTATAATTGAAGCTTGAGTAGATTTTTCATTCTAACTGTGTATTGCCATAGTTTCAAGTGAGGTGGAATTTCCATAGGAAGATTTTCAGGGTCTGATGTTTCTTACATTCTACCTCAGTCCAGGAATGCATCTCATTTAGGAAGTATGAAGAAAGTCAATTTTACTAGTTTTCCTTATTCACATGCAAAAAAAAATCTATGAATTTAAGATGTGTGATTCCAAAAGAAGGACTAACATCTGCTAAATTGGAAAACAGATTAAAAAATGGGATAATAAACAAATCCTAATGACATTTGTTACCTGCTCACCAGGGATTTTTGTCTGTAGTATTAAGTGCACCTGAACCATATTTATCTAGAAGAGTCTAGGACATGTATCTTCTGTATACTACACTAGAGAGTACAACAATTTGAGAAGCAGAAAACAAGGAAAACAGGACTGCTCCAAATTAACAGAAATGTTCAAATAGAACTGTGACGAAACCCAAATACATTTGAATGATTTGGGCACTTTCCTTTAAGTCCCTTCCAGTCCTTTTTTTCCTGTAATCCTATCTACTAACATATCACCTACCCATTGTGAAGTTTACTTATGATAATCTGGCAAAAGGTTCATCACATCTAGACACAGAAATTAAAATGCCTACTCATTGTAAGAACCTGTCGCTTCATTGATCAGTATTGCTAAGGGACCTCTGCTCATTAAATCTATATATAAGAACTAAATACTGTACCAGAATGAACAAATGAATAAATATTTTAGAAAGTTAAACATGATAAACATTCTGAATATTACTCTAATTAATTGATTGTGGAAAAAAATAAGTCTGAGGAAGTGTCATGAATGCAACAGGGCTGTGTATAGAAATACTTGGAAGGCTCACCTGGTTTGCACTCTAAACCCAGCAGTATCTCAAGACATACATTCAAGACTATCACCAATAGTCCCTACACATTTCTGTATCTTCAATAACTCAGTAAAACCAAGTTCCCCAAATTTCCCCTTTCAAGGTTTCATTCATTCAATTTTCTTATTTCAACCAATCCTTTCATTTGACATATCTTTAGGAGTCATTGTTTTGCCCTTGCAAAATGGAAATGTAGATGTCACCTCTTTAATATTGTGGTATTGTGTAATCTCATGTTGCATGTTACAGATTGGCCTCCCACTTTCAACTGTGGACATATACACCCTGGAATCTGTTCTTCCCCAATGTGCTGAAAATAGCTGTTACTGCAACTACAATGGACTTTGGCCTTTTACTTGGCAGTGCTGGGAAATGGCTAACCTAAAGCACTGCTGAATATTACGATTCTTCTGCTGTCTTACCTTCTCCATTAGCTGAATAAGCCCAGGTGAGATAAATGATGATACATCTCAGCAAAGTCATCTTCAGGTTCCAGGAGGTAAATCCAGCGCCTGTAACAGCTGACACTGAGTTCTCCTCTTCTCTAGGTTCTCTTCTCAACAACTGCTTTTTCAGACTGATCTTCCTTTCCCACCTGTAGCTGCAGTTTTTGCTACTGTCTTTCAACATCAAGGTACACAGATAACTTGTGTAAACTCCACAAGGAATTCAGTCCAAGTTATTTTTTTCAGTGTTCTCTTTCAGTAAATGGAAAGTTTCCCTTCAATAGGACTGGGGGATTCTTGAACTGAAACAATCCAGTAAATAGATTATTTCAAAAGCAGAACTATTGATAGTCTATAGGAGTGAATTTTGGGTCACCCAGATAAAAAGAGTTTGTTTAGTTTATGCTTGGTCCTCACCGAGCTTCCTCAGCATTATGCATTTCTTTTGCAGAATGAACCATTAATTCTCTAAACATAGAGATTCCCAGTGACACAGTGACACCCAAGAGCTTCATAGAGGCTTCTAGTGGGTCAGAAAGTATTTGGAGTTTGCTGGCATGGGATAGGAAGGCCATAACCATAAGCAGATCTAGAATTTTGTAAAGGGGAGGGGATGCAGAAGCAGGGACAGGCTGCATGTCCTGTTCCCAGACTCCTATCCTCCTCCCCCATCAGGTTAGGCAGACAGGGCTGGGAAAACTAGGATCCCCACTAATCACTCTAAAGACACTAGAAAATATGAAATTCTTGCTATTGTTCTATTTCCACGTTTGTTTGGACTCTGGATTAAGAATCTCAGTTATAATCTCTCTTATGTGAATCAGTCATGAGAAGGGATCCTGGTTTTCTGTGTTTAAAAATCCCAAATTCTCTGATTAAAAATTCCAAAATCCACTTTTTTCCATGATTAAAAATAAATGCCACTATACACACACACACACACACACACACATTAAGAGTAGCAATCATGCACACACACAGAGACACCCATATTTTAATGTAGCAGATTCAGTAGCAATAATTAGATTCATCGAATGCTGATCCCAACTTAAGACAGACAAAGTTGTTTGGGTAAATCTGATATTTTTTATTGCACCAACTAAAATATTTGGAAAAATTCTTCTTTGCAAACTTTTGGGTATAAACACCCTCCTCCCTTTTGCACCTGAAAGCTTGCAAAGAAGAATTTTTCCAACTATTTTAGTTGGCCTAATAAAAGACATCAGTTTTACTCAAAAAACCTTGTCTACCTATGTCCTTAGACCAACACAGCTACAACCAATATCCCTGATTCCGACTTGAAATGCTTTTATTTACTCAGTTACCATTTCTTCCTCATGTTTATTACTTGCTAATTCCAGCCTCACCACTGAGTTTCATCATCTATCTCCTCCTTTTTTCTAGCTATCATTTTACTGAATTTTTTATCCCTGGAAATCCCTTCTCACAACTCCTTAGTGAATGGTGGTCCAGGTAAAAGGAATGCATGTAGCACTTTGATTGGGTGTGGTGAGGCTGAAGTTTCTGCTTTGGTCCTCTAGGGTTTGATTCCACACTGGCTAGTCCCAGGAAACCTCTTTGTACTGCACAGAAAGGCCTTATGCTACAGTAAAAAATTCCACTGTGGCACATGAATTAAGTCGTAAACTTCAGTTATTAATCTGGATGGAGCCTTAGTCGATCTTTTAACTCTCTTGGGCCAAGATAGTAATCATCAGCACAGGGAAGGACTATCATCCTGATAAGAAACAGTTTCAGGAGGGCTAAGTAACTAGGCTTAAGTCATACAAGAAACTTGTAGCACAGGGCCATCCTCCTATGAACTTATTGTGAACAATGCAGTCTGGATTCCTGCTACAGGTAGGCTTACAGTAATGTGAAATCTTTAGGCCTTCACACAATTTTGGGTACAATAGATATACTGTATACTGATCATGGTCTTAGAGTAGATTTGCATTTGTTTTTGTTTGTTTGATTCAGCTAAAAAGCATTGACAGAAGTGCTCTTGTACACATAACAAAATGTCCCCCTTTTTTTTTTCAGAAACATTACTGTTTGCACACACTGGTGTTCCTGATGTTTTAAAAGTTTTTTTCTGGCTTTTCAAAGTAAAACTCATCTAGAAGTAGTTTACTTTGGGTTGCCACAAATTAAAACGTTGCATCCATGGATACATTAGGTATAAACAGAAATTCACTCAAAGACATGTAATGAGCTCCTTTGTCCACCAGACGGCGCAACAACTTTTGTGTAGTTCTTCCCTTTGTCCACCAGATGTCCCTTCAATTAGCAAACTGGAGATAAAGAGGATGCCTGAAACTTGCTGGTATTTTTGTGTAATATTTATTTTTAGACACCAGGTGAGCAGCTCAGCCCGACATGAATCAATTTTCTATTCACCTACCTGCACAGACATCTATGCCTCATCCCTGCCTCCCCACCCCAAATGTGTAATCATATCTACATGTCCAGAGCTTTTTGCTCATATTAACTTTAGAGCAATGCAGCAGGATTCTCACACAATACAATTGCATGTTCAGGACTTATCTACTTGTTTAGTTCCTACTGGCTAACCCAGGAAGGGTGAGAAATGGAGCAGTTGTAGTGAAATTAATGAATTCTGTACATAACTGCTTCAAAACCAGCCAAACTAATGATTACAAATGTGTTTCAATTAGAAATCAGAAGACATTTAAATCACCAAGCTGTTCTGCAGCTTTTGACCAGAATTACTGGTTCCACCAGTTTTTCCCACTTCTGGTGAATTTGTAAAACAATATTCCTTTAGATGGCTTGAGCCACAGGACATGAGGTTCCAGCCTGGAGTTTTTGACAGATGCAGAACTGATCCAACAGACTTAACAAAGCAGCAGTCACCTTCTTATTGAATTGAATGGAATGAGAACTTCCCTGAGCCTTCACCCCAAACTCTGACCTTGAAATTCAAAGAGGATTTCTTAATCTTGGACTTTTTTGCATGCATCTTGGTGCATCTTCTGCTGGGGCAAAGCCAGGACATATCCCATGGCATGTCTGGCCCTGCTGAAACCAGGACAGACCAGAGGCAACCAGCCCTTAAATAAAGCTTCTGCATTCTTTCACACTTTTCCTCTCTTCCCTGCCCCTTCTAGCTATACTTGTTGTCTTCCAAACTGCCACGTATTTACTTTTTCACAGATTCTTTTCTATCATCTCAGAACAGCAGCAGTCTTGAAGAAGGTTGTTTGTGTCTGAAAGCTTGCAAATAACTTTTTTCCAACTATTTATTTGTTCTAATAAAAAATATCACATCTGCCAAAGAACCTTGCCTACCTATGTCTTTGCCACAAGCTTCCTGGTGCTCCTGAATTGCTGAGCACTTTTGCACTGAGTCTGTTATGATAAAAGTTATAATCTAGAGTTGTTCCCTGTTTGTGCACATGTACAACCTGCATGGGCAGCAGGGCTAGGGGGGGCAGGGGGCTGTGGGTCGGGAGTGAGGGGCACCAGCAGGGCTGGGGGGACAGGGACTGTGGGTTGGGAATGAGGGGCACTGGCAGGGCTTGGGGGGGCAGGGGGCTACAGGTCAGGACTGGGGGGCACCAGCAGAACTGGGGGGTTGGGTACAGTGGGTTAGGAGTGTGGTTTAAAAAAAGCAAAGGCATTAAACTTTGATCAAAAAAAGGGTTGTAAAGATAAAACAAAAGGCGTTGTGTAAAAGTGTGGTCTAGGAAAAAGAGGAAGAATGTCTGGCCTTGTGGTAATCAGCGGTTACTGAGACAGCAAGAAAAGAGTGTTTTGTAATAAAGAAATGAAAATAATGTTTTTGTAACTGTTACTGCAGCTAGGTTTCTAAAAATTTCACTATATGTTCACGTGAATTGTAGGTGGCTGTTAAAAAGGTATATAAGCCTTTTGCTTTAACGTTTAGGGAGGGAGCCTCCTCCAAGTGCATGGTGAATCCATGTCACTTTGGGGCCCCTCCTACAGCTGTAGCTCTATCCAAATAAAGCTTCTGCTGACCTGACCCAAAAGTTTGCTGCGTGTGTTTTCCATGACAATTCCTGGTGCCATTGGACTCGGATCCACAACACGGATTGAGGAAGGAGGACCGCAGACTGCTTCCCCCGAACCCCGTGGCACCAAACTTAAGAGGTAAGAGACCTAATTTAAAATCTCTAATGGGGTTTCGAAGGAAGGCTGCCTGTAGGCTCCTGACTTGACCGTGGTGACTGGATCTGAACCTTATTGAATACAGGTTAGTTTAGAACCTTACTGCTGGCTAGAATTTTCTGTCTGGTAAAGGATCCAATTTTGTGTCTGGTAATGTACGTTCTATTCGGGGAGAAACTGTTTAAAGCGCCTTCATCCAACAGCACATTGGGCTTGTAGTTAATTAACTAAGGTGGTGTGGGGGAGGAGGTCTGGCTGACTGAATGTGTGTGTGTGTGTTTTTAGAAAAATGAGCCACTGACCAGGTCTAGGACTAAGGCTGGGTCTAGCCGCCCCAATTCTGTCTGATAAGGTAGCGTCGAAAGCAAAGGGACCAGCTGAAACCTCGTGACCCAGTGGACAAGGCGTCTGAGTGATTTTGTCTTTTCCAAACCCCTTGTCCCAGTAGCTTCTGCCAAGAGCAAAAGTGAAAGGATCCCTCTTGTGTTTCCCTCCCTGCTTCCATTGTCTGAGCCGGTGTCGGGTCAGAAGACTTTTGTCTGGGCAGTAAAAAAACCGCAGGGCAAGGCACTGAGTGGCCCGGATGTCCTAAATAAGCCTTTCCTGTGTTTTTCTTGTGTGATTGAAATGGGGACAGGTCAGTCAAAACCAGTTCCAGTCCCCCCTAAGGGGACTCCAGCGTACTTTATGTACACACACTATTCTCCTGAGACTTGCAAGTATCTGAGTGAGTGGAACTGGTATACTAGGGATGATCCCGTGTAGCATTTTCCACAGGAAGGAACATCTGATCAAGATAAAGTAGTGCACTAACAGGGGGCTTAGAGCCCCGGGGATCTAAGATATCACAAAGTCAGTGGAATGTGTTTGTTTGTTTTTTTAATTGGTATGAGGAGATGTCTAAAAGATGCTCTGAATCTCAAAATTGAAGGTTGAAAGATTCTCTAGAAAAATTAAAACAACAATTAAAGGCTGTTAGGGAGAAATTGGCTGCTCCCTCAAATTATATGCCGGCCACCGCTCCGTTGTATCCAGCTTTGCCTGGGGCACCCCCACCACTGGAGCCAGCAGAAGACATTCTTAATTTCTGCGCCAATCCCACTCTCATGAGAACCCCACCACAACAGCCAGCTCAACCTCAAGCTGCAAC